GTCAGGGGGGTGAGAGACTGATAGAGAGAGACCCAGCGAGAGAGAGAGGAGGCTCGGCTGCGCGAGAGGGTTACTGCTACTGGGTTAGGGTTAGACTGGAGGCAGGGAACGAGAGAGAAGAGAAGGGAGGAATGAAAAAAATAAAAGGTGTGGGTGTGGCTGCTAGTTGCTGCTAGGGAGGTTAGAAATAGAAAGGGTTTTGACGATTTCTCAAAAAAAGTTTAAAAACTTTTCTGAAATCGTGGAGGCATGAGGGTTCGAACCCATGCGCTGCAGCTTTAAAATTTTCCCTGAAACCAACTTGACAACAGGTTATATTTTGTTATGATTGTATGACTAAACTATTTATAATATTGAAACAAATAATTAAATATATATATATCGGTTCGGTTCGGTTTGGTTCGGTTTCCGAACCTCAAAAACCGAAACCGAACTGACCAAATTTGGTTCGGTTCGGTTTGACAGTTTCGGTTCGGTTTTTTTTTCGGTTCGGTTTTTTTCGGTCTCGGTCCGGTTTGGTTTTCGGTTTTTTTCGGTTTTCGGTTTTTTGAACCCACCCCTACCGCCCAATGTAAAGAGAACAGTAAAAAAAAAATTTCATTGGTTTTACTGTAAAGTGGTTTGATACAGATGTACTACGTTTCGCTGAGAATGGTTTGATAATATTTCAATGTTTTATGTGGTGCTGTAGGGTGATAATGGAAATTAGGTGGAAATATGGATTTGACTAATTTTTCTGGTGCTTGTTCCTGATTGAGATTGAAAGGGATGCTAAAAAGATATTCACTGAAATTATGTTTTAATATAACTGACTGGTTAGGATGATGATGATTGGTATGTAGTGGTTGAATAAGGATCATATTGAGTGACTAATGTCGTTTGGTAATTGGGATGTGGTGACTAATAATTTGGCCTAAGGTTTCCTATTGTGGAATCTAAGGGAGTGAAATGGTTGGTAATGGCTAAGGCCGATGAATAATTTGGGCTTGATTCTTGTTTTACTGGTGGTGGTGGTAGAGTGGCTGGAAACCTCATATGATCAGGTTTTTTTGCTGTCATTCTTCTCCAGTAGAAATTCTCTGGTTAGGAAATCAGGGATGCAATTTTGACTTCCTTTGATGTATTCGATTTCAAAATAAAAAATACTTAATATAGATTGCCATTGTGCAAAAATCTGTTTTGATGCAATGTTTTGAATATCTTTTTGTAAAACATGTTTTGCAGATTTGCAATCAACTATGACTAAAAACTTTTAATTTAATAAATCATCTTGAAATTTACTAATACATAATAATATAAATAATATTTATTTCTTAATAGTATTATAATTACTTTGTGCTTGTATTCCATACTTCTTAATGGAAACGAACAATTTGTTCAAGAGATCCGGAAGAAATTGACTGTTTGAGAATACCCCCGTAACCAATTTCAGAGGCATCAGTTTCAACGATCTTGAATGAATTAAGAGTTGGAATACCATGATTCACTCTTATATGCATTACTTTGTTGCATATATGCGATGTGTTAAGATAGGTGACCCTCAGATAAAGATGATTCGTAATGCCTTCACCTCTTATATGCATTACTTTGTTGCATATACGCCATGTGTTAAGACAGGTGACCTTTAGTTTTGGGGGCACCCATGTGATGGTTAACATCCACATAGGCAATGGGCATGTGAGATTGAGCATCCCTAGCCTCGTCGAGCATCCGTAGAGCTTCTTGTACTGTTCTTGGAGGATCTCATTCATGATGGCTATCTTATTGTTTTGAGTTTCCAGCTCTTTGTCCTTAGCTTGAAGAGCAAACTTCTTTATTTCATTTCTTCGCTGCCTCACACTAGGCACAAAGGGGTGTTGTTTTGTGTGTTGTGGCTTCCTTTGAGGGATGCCTGATCAAAAGAGAGTGTACGAACAATGTAAACCAGCTTGACGAAGCTAGTAAGAGTAGGAATAAGTGTCGTTCCCATAGACGGCGCCAAATGTTGATGCACAAATTCAATGAGACTTTAAACCAACGTGAAATGTCAAGTTTGTGATCTTCGCACGGTTGCTTTGGTTACTTGGTATGGATAATATGTACATAGATAGAGATAGGGAAACAAACATAAGATGTTCATGGTTCACTCTAGGTTTGGCTTCGTCCACGGGATAGAGGAGTTCTGATTAATAGTGAAGAGTTTACGCAATACATAGGTTTAAGCATAATCATCATCAGTGGGCTCTAATGACGAGTTTAAGCACAGTAATGACATTATCCCTTAATTGTAGGAGAATTGTCTTCTTTTATAGTTGAGGAGAGTTGCTCGCTTCCGTTCACGGTTGATGTGGGACTCTATGAGTTTTATTATGATGTTGACACATATCGAGTTGTGATTGGCTTCTTGGTTTAAAATAATACTACTATTTATTAGTTTTTTCTTTGAAATTTGGACTCTGAACATTTGAATCTCAAGGATTTTGCAAACCAACCAACCCTTCGCAAGTCTCTATTTTGGGGGCAGAGCATGCAAAATGGAGTAGGCTTTATTCTATTTTTGCTTTAAGAAACCTTCCCAGCCACCAATTACAAAAGCAGTACGACCAAATCTGCATTTCAAAACGGAGAATGGCAATTGGGCCTAGCCATTTAAATCAAATTAATTATGTAGACAAATTTTAAGAGTATTACGACTCAGAATACCCTCAAAGTAAAGAACAATGTCATAGGATTACAAAGATTAAAAATTTGATAAACAATGTCATAGGATTACAAAGATTAAAAATTAGGAAAACTAATGAAAATGGTTTGAAAACTTTGAGATTTAATGATAAGGACAAAATAAAGGGTAAAGTGAATAGTACTAGTATTGACTTTTTAGTGTAAAAATATGGTTTTTCGTTACGGTGAACAGTACCGAAAGCTTTTTGTTAAAGTTTTCTTAAAAATTTTGATAAACATGCTAAGATGTGTCTGTAACCCCAGATTCATAAACAATATTGTTCATTTCAATTTCCAAATTCAATCATTGTAACAATGTTTAGCAATTACTAAAACATGAACACTTTCGTGAGTGGTAATATTTTCAAATGTCATCAGATCCATTAAGCCGATAAACCCTTCATTTTGTGAACAACTGCCTTGCAGGGCGCAAAGTAGTTGTTAGTGAGTTTGATGAGCCGCTAACCGTGAAGGAGACAAACCGCGACAGGGTGATGATGCTTTGTGCCTACGGTAATGATAATTTTTCATTTCCTTTATCTTTTCTTTTTCCTTCTTCGTTTTCCTTTGATATTAACAACCATCTTGTTATGTAGGCCATGATCGAGATTGATGATGGGCTAAAGGCGGCCAAGCAAAACAAAAGAAGCTTAAGGTTATCTCCAACTGAAGGTTGGTCAGATGGTTCGTTTTAATCCTCTGATCCTCTAAGGTATTAATATTTTAATGAACAGCACATGACCATATTTGCCTTCATCTCCAACCGATAGGGCTCATTTTAGCCCTGTGATAAAAAACCGTTTCCAACCGAAGGCTAAAGGATCATATGATCAAACATAATTTATTATTTAAATTTAAAAAGTGCAACAACTTAAATTTAAAAAAGGTGAAAATTATGTGACAAATGGTGTAAGAATGACTTAGATATTTATAGGAAAAAAGGGAAATTTAAAAAAATAAATAAAAATTTGGCCCCCAAAAAAAAAATTAAATAAAGAGGACAATACTGTCGTATATATCCGACAAAAAATGTATTAATAATGAAGCCCAGGGTTGGCTGGATTGGGTCAGCCGGTTGGCCCTTTAGCCCTTTTTTGTCCCTTGGGTCCCATGAGCCATTTGGTCTAGACCTCGGTTGGAGACGGTTTTCGGGCTATTTTCTACCATCTAGCCTTCTGGACCATTAGGTTGGAGATGGCCTAAGGAAAGCAAGAAGCTTGTGGATGATACTAAGAAAGAGCGTAAGGCTCAAGTTGAAGCCGTCAAGAGCAAAGATGAAGCCATGTCACCCTTCGCGATTCGTCTATCGGAACAGGCAACGATTGTATTGCCATTGGCGACGAGTGTTCCTTACTCTACGTTACCAACATTGCCTGCGGACCAGGTAATTGAATTAGTTTTGTCTCTGTTCTCTTCTCTTCCATTAATTGTTAAATGAATATCTTCAAATGCTAATCTTCATTGGTGTTCTCATTCTCTTGATTGAACCAAATTAATATAAAATTGATGTGAATAGAATATACATGTATTATCGTCAATACGACCGTAGATTAATTTTCTTTTGCAAACAATGTTGGAAGCTTTGGAGAAGATGGAAAGATTATAGTGTAATGGGGAACACAATTGCAAAAGTCAACCCTCGGCCGTGGTGGTGGTGGATGCGACATACAACGATTTTGAAGGCATTTCTGCGACGGAGGTGGCAATTAAACTCCATTGCGGCCAAGTTTCCGATGGCTGTCATAATGTTCTGATGGATAGGATTAATATGATGTCAACGTTCAGGGATATGAAGATTTTTGCATCTTGAAACAACGCCAACAGAACTTATGTTGGCACTACGGTGCCCAAGGTCCCTTGTTCATCTATATATGTATGTTTATAAGATGAAGAAGAGTAAATCTATTAAAATCTGTCGTATGTCGCCTTCATATTTAGGAATTCATACTACACATGTTATTACTTTGATTTACTTCACATTTTAATTTTTGCAGTGTTTGATGCTCTAGCTTGTGCTGAAATTAAACCCTATCATAAAAATAAAATGTTACGGGAAATGCTTGAAGCTAACTTTTATTAGTCAAGGCTTGCATCTGGTAAAACAATTGGTAAGTAAATGTTCAATTTACTTTTCCAACTAAAACTAGACTATTTATCATTAAAGACCCAAATCAAATTTCTTCGGAGCCCCAAACCCAATGTCGAAAGCCCAACTCAACCATCCAAAAGCTCGATACAGCCGAGGGTGTTCGAATACTGTTCTGCTAGGTTGCCCTGAAGCGAGGGTATATATTCAGACTTTATAACCCTAAAGAAGGTCTTCTTAGCTTCGCCTCCGCCTCTCTGGAAGCCATTCATTATCCCGAACCCTTCTTCCTCGTCTGCAAATCCATTTCCTGTTTGCTTATTTAGCTAAGAATCCCATCCCTCTCCCTTTTACTGATCAGAAAAAGAAAACAAAAAACTTTTCTCCATCTTATTCTCTATGTCGATTTCGCGCACCGACTCCTTGACCGATTTAGACGATGAAGACGGGGAGCGTATTGACTTGTCTCACAAAACTTGGGATTTGGTGGCATCGGTAATTAAACAGGTGAAATTTCACTTTTAAACGATAAATTTATGTTTAATTTATTTTTACAAATCTTATTTAGGAATAATTTCGAATTTTAAGATATAGGAATAATTTTCAGTTTTAAGTTGCTTCTATTATATTATCTCCATCGTTTACTTCTCTTTTTTAATATTGCTTAATAAAGCTGTGAGATTTCCTGCTTCTGTTAAGATCTTCTTCAATATGTTGTGCCGAGTTATTCAACTCATAGTCTTTTAAGATTCTGACTAAATTGGTTGGTTGTAACGTGAGTTTAAGTTCATTTAATTTTTTACTTTCATCAAAATTGATAGTATAGCAGGATCATTTTTGTAAATTGGTTGATTATATTGTCCAGCAGTTTATTACTACTTTTTGGATGTTGGAAACTATTCTATATTTTATCACTGTTGACAATGATCTGTCCATTTTATTTTGCATCGTAATAATATGAGTTTGCACAAAGGTTCGGTTATAGGTCTAGAGAAGCCCAACTCCCATTTTAAAAGGTAGCTACAAAATGAGCTCTGTTGTAGAGATAATAGGTGAAAGAATGCCCACTCAAAGAAATGAGACTTGAGAATATTGTTTGTTTGAAACTTTCAAAATGTAATCATTCCTCATTTGTAAGGTTTCACGGAAGTGATTCTATAAATAGAGCACTCCGTGTGCTATTGAGACATACTGTGAAAGAAAACAAGAAAAATAATATCAGTATCTCTCCCTCTCTTTATCTGCTATCATTTTTGTGTTATAGCTACTAAAATTATAGTGTGATATTTTGCATCTGCTTCGCTCCTTTCGTTAGAAATGTTATCTCTCTAACTTTTGCATATTTATAACACGTTATCAACATGACTTTCTAACCTTAAATAGTTCACATCTCCCTTCACCGAAAGAAAAAAAAATGCTTCCTGTAAGGTTTTTCTTGTTTTTCTTCTTCTTCTGCTTCATCTACATGATGCAATCTCGCGATGAATTGCTAGCACCATGCCGGCTTCTCGTTCTAAATTTAAGAGTTACTTATATCTTTGATTTCTTATTTGGTGCAATTCCTGGTTTCTAACCTAGTGTTTATTTATATTAATTTTACTGTAATCCAAGATGGTGTGGTACAATCGCCCATCTTGAACTGTAAATTTAATCTTACTGCAATTCAAGATGGTGCGGTATCATTGCCTATCTTAGACTGCAGATCTAATTTTACTGTAAATTTGAGGTGGAGCGGTATAATCGACTACCCTACCTTGCATATTTAAATTTGCCTACTGTTTAATTTCATTGCAATTTTAGGTGGTGCGATATAATTGTCCACCCTACTCTGCGTATTAAATTTTTCTGCTGTTTAAGTAATACGGAATAATTGTTCATCCTATGCTTGTTTCGATGAGAATGGTGCAGTACAATCGTCATTCTTATTAATCATGAAAATCTCGAGCCTGAAGTTTTAAGTGCTTATCATTTTTTACTCGAATATCAAAAATGAAAATTTGGTAAGAATCAAAAGTTCTAACACTATATGTCCCTAGGAATACATATTATTGTAAGTTCTTACACATCTTTTTTTTTTTTTTTTCAGAAAATAAAATGGCGAACTTGGCAAAGCTTGATTTTGCTACCCTGGACATTATTGGGAAAATTACCTTACATGGGTACTGGATACCAAGATCCATCTAGAAGCAGAGAATCTTGGAGATACCATTAGGGAAGAGAACAGCTCATCCTCTCAAGATCGGGCGAAGGCCATGATTTTTATTCGTCGCCATCTTGATGAGGGACTAAAGAGCAAATACTTAACGGTTGAAGATCCGTGAGCTCTCTGGAATGCATTGAGAAACAGATACAATCACCAGACAATGGTGATTCTTCTAAGAGCTCGCTATGAGTAGACTCACCTAAAGATCCAGGATTTCAAGTCAATGGCTGAGTGCAATTCTGATTTGTTCAGAATTACCTCTCAGATGAAGATTTGTGAGGATACCATTAATGAGGAAGATATGCTGGAAAAGACTTTCAGCACATTTCATGCATCTAACGTGCTCTTGCAGCAGCAGTATAGAGCGCGAGGCTTCACTGAATACAACCAGCTGATATATGTGCTCTTGGTAGCTGAACAAAATAATGAGCTACTGATGAAAAATCATCAGTCCTGACCTAAGAAGTAAATGTTGTTACCCTCAAAGTGAACGGCACATCCTCTGGTGGCGATAATCATAAACGAGGACGTGGCCACAAGTAAAGTCGATGGAACAGGAAATGCAAGAACTATGGTGATTAGTCTCACAACCAGGTTCCAAAGCAAAATTCAGGCTCGAGTTTTAAAAATGGAAATCGCCACAAAGGCAAAGCTTGTATGAATAATGCTTTTAGAAACTCTGATGGAACCTGCCATAGGTGTGGTGGCGATGGGCATTGGGCGCGTACTTGTCGTATCCCAAAACATCTGATGGATCTATATCAAGCCTTCCTTAAGGAGAAGGGTGTTGAGAATAATTTCCTCGACTAGGCTAGTCCAATGGATATACCTGATTCAGTGTGCGACTTATTAGGATAGTTGAACACAACCCACCTAGATGTCTCAGACTTCATTGTGGAAAAGAGGAATAAAGTGTATTAGTCCGACTAAATCATTTATGTTTGTTGTACTTTTATTATTATGAGCTTGTAGTTGAAAACCAGCATTTCAATTAAATAAAAGTGGCATTTAAATTTTCTGTTATAAATTGTTTGTTAATTGTGATTCCATTTACTCATAAAACATATATAAAAACTGTGGTTATTTTCAGAACATGAGAAATGGCAGAGATATTTGTCTTGCAGATACCGCAACTACACATACAATACTTCATGATCAAAAGTATTTCTCAAGCTTGATGCTTACAAGAGTAAGGGTAACAACAATATCAGGTCAATCAGATGTAATTGAAGGCTCAGGGAAAACTCAGATTATGTTACCAAATGGAACAATATTGTCCATACATAATGCATTTTATGATACTCAATCTACTTGAAATTTGTTGAGTTTCAAAGACATACGTTTAAATGGATACCACATTGAAACGAAAAGTGCAGAAAATGTGGAGTATCTACGCATTACCTCCAATGATACCCAGAAGTGTATATTAGAGAAGTTGTGTGATTTGTCGAGTGGATTGTATTATACATACATAAGGACAATTAAATCACATACTGTTATGAACCAGAAGTTCATTGATTCAAAAGATTACATGCTTTGACATGATTGTTTGGGTCATCCAGGATCCACCGTGATGCGTATGATCATTACCAACTTTACTGGACATCCATTATTAAGCAGAGACATTGCTATCTCAAATGATAACCCTTGCAAGGCTTGTTCTTAAAGGAAGTTGGTAATTAGACGATCACAATTAAAGGTTGATACTGAATCCTTATAATTTTTTGCAAAGAATTCAAGGGGTTATTTGTGGACCTATTCAACAATTTTGTAGACCATTTCGATATTTTATGGTTTTGGTTGATGCATCTACCAAATGGTCACATGTTTGTCTCTTGTCTACTCGAAATGTAGCTTTTGCGAGACTTCTTGCTCAGATAATTAAGTTAAAAGTATAGTTCCCAGATTACCCCATTAAGTCAATCTAACTGGATAACGCTGATGAATTTACATCTCAAACCTTTGATGATTACTGCATGACATTGAACATCATGTTCCTCATGTCCATACTCAAAATGGTTTAGCAAAAGCATTGATCAAGCGACTTCAGTTAATAGCTCGCACTCTGTTCATGAAAACAAAATTGCCAGTTTCTGCATGGTGACATACCATCTTACATACTGCATCATTGGTTCGATTGAGACCTATAGCCAACCACCAATACTTTCCAGTACAACTCGTGTTTGGGTATTAGCCAAACACTTCACATTTACGAGTTTTTGGTTGTGCTGTTTATGTGCCTATTGCACTGCCGCAACGCACTAAAATGGGACCTCAACGTAGATTGGAAATTTATATGGGTTTTGATTCACCATCTATCATTAGATATTTGGAATCCCTGATAGGTGATATGTTTACAGCTTGTTTTGCTGATTATCACTTTGATGAGACAATCTGCCCGTCATTAGAGACCGTTCCAAAAGAACGGCAAGAGCTGACATGGGTTGTACCCACCTTGTTTCATTTTGATCCACGTGGTACTCAATGTGAAAATAAAGTAAATAGGATCGTGCATCTTCAAAGTATTGTCAATCAAATGCCAAATGCATTTAATGATGCTATGAAAGTGACAAAATCACATATACCAGCTGCAAATGCACCTGCAAGAATTGATGTCCTTGTTGGACAAAATAAAGTAACAACGAATGATTCATTTGGTGCACGCCTGAAAAGTGGTAGACTCTCATGTTCAAAAGATTCAATCCCTTGAAAAAGAAAGATAATGGCACAACCGAATCCAAATGAAATTATTCAGGAAGAGAAAATGAATGGAAAATCCACAATTCATGATTCTGAACTTCCAAAAGAAAAAAATGTCATTGATGAGACACATGTCCCTAAAGAGACAGCAGTACATGAAAGTAAAGAAATATTCATAAATTATGCATGTATTAATGAATTGTGGGATCAAAATAAAATAATCATCGACGATATGTTCGCATTCGCAGTAGCCACTGAAATCATATTAAGTGATGATATTAAGTCTCGCTTTGTTGACGAATTTAAATAAATACAAGATTGGCCTAAGTGGAAAGATGCAATCCAGACAGTATTAAATTCCTTGGAAAGACGAAATGTTTTTGGACCAGTAGTTCAAACTCCACCTGATGCAAATCCTGTGGGTTATAAATGGGTATTCACAAGAAAACACAATGAGAAGAACGAGATTGCAAGATACAAAGCACGACTCGTTGCACAAGGCTTTTCACAAAGACCTGTATGAGGAGACATATTCTCCTGTAATGGACGTAATTATGTTTCGTTACTTAATAAGTTTAGTGGTTTCAGAAAAACTTGACATGCGACTTATGAATGTCATCACTACATATCTATATGGATAATTAGATACTGACATATACATGAAGGTCCCATGAGGACTTAAGTTGCCTAAAACAACTAACAAACTACAAGGTATGCTCTCGATCAAATTAAGGTGATCATTGTATGGGCTGAAACAATCTGAACGAATGTGATATAATCGTCTCAGTGAATATTTGATCAACGAATGATATATCAACAATGTCATTTGCCCTTGTGTGTTCATTAAGAAATCCAATTTTGGATGTGCTATAGTGGTAGAATATGTTGATGATATGAACCTAGTTGGAACTCTTGAATAACTCAATAAAACTGCTAAATATCTGAAAAGCGAATTCGAAATGAAAGACCTTAGGAAAACAAAATTGTGCTAATGAAATTTTGATCCACCAATCAGCTTACATTGAAAAAATCCTAAAGCAATTTGGCATGGACAATGCTTATCCACTCAGCACGCCAATGGTCATTCATTCTTTGGACATTAAGAAAGATCCATTTCGTCCAAAAGAATATGATGAAATGGTCCTTGGTCCAGAAGTACCATATCTGAGTGCAATAGGTGCTTTATTGTATTTAGCACAATGTACTATACTAGATATAGCTTTTTCAGTTAACTTGTTAGCAAGGTATAACTCTACTCCAACAATTCGTCATTGGAAATGAGTCAAAGATGTTTTGAGATACCTTCGTGGGACAATAGACATGGGTCTCTTCTACTTAGAGAAATCCATAAATGACCAAATCCTTGCTGGATATGCAGATGCTGGTTTCCTCTCTGATCCGTATAAAGCCCGCTCACAAACTGAATATGTGTTCAAGAATGGAGATACATCAATCTCATGGCGCTTAACAAAGCAAACATTAGTTGTTACATTTTCAAATCACTCAGAAATACTTGCTTTACATGAAGCAAGTCTTGAATGTTTTTTGTTAAGATCAATGATCCATCATATCCGGAATTCATCTGGTCTACCTTCGGAGATAGAAAATCCAACTGTCATCCATGAAGATAATGCAGCCTGTATTGCCCAAATGAAGGAATGATTCATTAAGGGTGATAAAACTAAACACATATCTCCAAAGTTTTTCAGTGCACATGAATTTTAGAAGGCTAAAGTTATTGAAGTCAGACAAATCCGTTCCAATGAAAATCTGGCAGACCTGATCACCAAGTCTCTACCAAAGTGCATGTTTAAGAAGTTAGTGCAAAGTATCGGATTACGTCGGCTTACCAATCAGATAAATTTGAAGAATGCGAAATCAGGAAGAGATAAATATCAGGGGAGTATTCATGATACATGTTTGTTGTACTCTTTTTCCTTCGACTATGTTTTTTTCCCACTAAGTTTTTCATATCAATGTTTTAATGAGGCAGCATAAGCCTACTTGACTCTATTATCAACAATCTAGGTAAAATTGTACTCTTTTTCTATCGCTTTGGTTTTTTCCCACTGGATTTTTCCGAGTAAAGTTTTAACGAGGTTGTTTGTACCATACATGACCAATCCCGAAACTACTGAGCACCGGTCAACTTTATACCGTCAAGGATCCAGAAAAGTTTCCCTCCAACCAGGAGGCCAATCACAGCGCGACACGTGTCGACATCAGAAGCCAATCACAACACGACACGTGTCAATGTCAAAATGAAACTAGAAACCCTCTTCTATAAATAGAGATCATTCTCTCACAATATTTCCTAATGTCATTTGTACTAAATCATTCACTAGTACTCACAATATGTGAGCTTGAACCTATGTACTTGTGTAAACCTTTCACAATTAATGAGAACTTCTCTACTCCGTGGACGTAGCCAATCTGGGTGAACCATGTACATCTTGTGTTTGCTTCTATGTCTCTATCCATTTACATACTTATTCACACTAATGACCGAAGCAATTTAGCGAATGTCACAAACTTAACACTCTCTGTTGTACCAAAGTCCTCGCTGATTTTGTGCATCAACAGAGGTAACTGATGTTAATATGTGGGCAACAAAGAGGAAGTGTTGTAGAGATAATGGGTGAATGAATGCCCACTCAAAGAAATGAGACTTGGGGAATAATGTCTGTTTGAAACTTTCAAAATATAATCATTCCTCATTTGTAAGGTTTCACGGAAGTGACTCTATAAATAGAGCACTCCTTGTGCTATTGAGACACACTGCGAAAGAAAACAAGAGAAATAATATCAATATCCTTCCCTCTCTTTATCTGTCATCCTTTTTGTGTTATAACTACTAAGGTTATAGTGTGATATATTTTGCACTTGCTTCGCTCTTGTCATTAGAAATGTTATCTCTCTAACTTTTGTCTATTTATAAAAAGCTCTACTTTTTTGAAATAATATTTAAAGATAGACATTTAGTAACTTATTATCCATATTAACCGATGTAAGCTTCATTTAATTCGATGCCATGTGCATTTAATTCGACGTCAGTGAAATCTCTGTCGGTGTAATTGACGTCAACTTATTATCCATATTTAAACCCCGTTCTTCCCTATTTCATTCGTGCTTTCATTTCCCTCTTTCTCTTTTAATTCATTCTTCCATGAGCGTCCCTTTCTTCCCACATTTCAGTCTTTCTCCTTCTCCTTCTAGTAATTTTTGCTATGGATCAACATATCGAAGATCAACATTCTGAGGAACTCCAATTCGAAGAGGAAAAGTTCGAAGCTGGTTCATTTTTAAATTATTATTATTATTACTAGC